AAAACTCAAAACCCAGCAGAAGACAAGAAATAACTAAGATCAGAGCTGAACTGAAGGAGATTGAGACACGAAAAACCCTTCAAAAAATCAATAAATCCAAGATCAACAAAATAGACAGACCACTAGCCAGATTGATTAAAATAAAAGAGAGAACGCCACACTTTCATACAAATTCTGGTCACTCACGGAGCAGAAGATTCCCCAGTGGAGGAAACACACGGGTGGCCAGCGCGACTCTCGTGGCCGGTGCAGCGGTTCCGCGGGCACCTTGGCGCGGCAGCTCTCGGAGCAGAGTAAAAAAGGTTGGAGGACCCGCAGGGGTCCCCAGCACAACACCAGAGCCCGGCGCAGGGCTGCGACGGCACCTCGGCGCGGCAGCGCTCAGCGCAGAGTAAACAGGACCGGTTCCCCGGGGTTTGGAGCCCCGGGAAGGTAGAGTCGCCTACTACAGACACAAGAAGGAAGCCAGACAGGAGAATCCTGGGCAGAAAAGCACCATCAGTTTTAATACTGCTGCTCTGGTCCTGGGAACTAACAACCTGGTTGCCCACTCAAGAGACCTAATCTGAAAGGTGGTAATTTCAAAGACAACAGGAGGATAAAATTACAATCATGGGAAGAAACTAGCGTAAAAAGGCTGAGAATACTCAAAGTCAGAATGCCTCTCCCTCTAAAGATTATCACAGTTCCACATCAACAATGGAACAAGGCTTGATGGAGAACGAGCGCCTCCTGATGACAGAATCACTCTTCAAGGAATGGATAATAACAAACTTCGGTGAGTTAAAAGACCATGTTGTAGCCCAACGTAAAGAAACTAGGAACTTTGAAAAAAAGTTTGATGAAATCCTATTGAGAATAGACAACTTAGAGAGGAGTATGAGTGAATTAATGGAACTGAAGAATACAATACAGGAACTCCGAGAAGTATGCACAGGTTTAAACACTCGAATTGTTCAAGCAGAAGAAGGGATATCAGAGGTCAAAGTCCAACTTAATGAAATAAAACGCGAAGAAAGGATTAGAGAAAAAAGGATAAAAAGGAATGAGCAAAGTCTCCAAGAAATGTGGGACTATGTGAAAAGACCAAATTTACGTTTGATAGGTGTACCTGAATGCGACGGAGAGAATGAATCCAAGCTGGAAAATACCCTTCAGGATATTATTCAGGAAAATTTTCCTAAACTAGCAAAGCAGGTCAACATTCAACCCCAGGTAATACAGAGAACACCACAAAGATATTCCTCAAGAAGAGCAACCCCAAGGCACATAATCGTTAGATTCACCAGGGTTGAAACGAAGGAGAAAATACTAAGGGCAGCCAGAGAGAAAGGTCAGGTTACCCACAAAGGCAAGTTTATCAGACTTACAGCAGATCTCTCAGCAGAAACTCTACAAGCCAGAAGAGAGTGGGGGCCAATATTCAACATCCTCAAAGAACAGAACCTTCAGCCCAGAATTTCATATCCAGCCAAACTAAGCTTCACAACTGAAGGAAAAATAAAATCTTTTATGAACAAGCAAGAACTCAGAGATTTTATTACCACCAGGCCTGCTTTACAAGAGCTTCTGAAAGAAGCATTACACACAGAAAGAAACAACCAGTATTAGCCTTTCTAAAAATACATCAAAAAGTAAAGAGCACCAACATAAAGAAGAATTTTCATCAACGAATGGAAAAAACAGCCAGTCAACATCAAATGGCAGTAACCCTAAATTTAAATTGACTAAATCCCCCAATCAAAAGACACAGCCAAAACCCAACCGCATGTTACATACAGACCTGTTTCCCATGCAAGGATACACAAAGACTCAAAGGGATGGAGAAAAATTTACCAACCAAATGGAGAGCAAAAATAAATAATAAATAAATAAAAAGCAGGAGTTGCAATTCTCATATCGGATATAATAGATTTTAAAGCAACAACGATATAGTGGTAAAAGGATCAATACAGCAACAAGAGCTAACGATCCTAACACCCAGATACGAGAGACTTAGATTCAATGAGACAGAAAATTAATAAGGATATCAAGGACTCGAACTCAGATCCGGAACAAGTAAACTTAATAAATATTTATAGAGCTCTCCACTTCAAATACACAAAATATACATTCTTGTCAATACCACATCACACCTACCCATAAGTTTAAATGAAACATTGATTGGCCATTATTAATACCCAATTTTTTTCAAAATAAAGCAATATTTCTATTTACTCTCCCTCTTTCTCTTCCTCTTTCTTCCTCTCCTTTACTTATTTTTTTTTTCTTTCCTTCTCTCAAAAAAAAAAAAAAAACCAAAACAAAACAAGAAATCAACTTGTAAACCTCTAGATCCAGGTCGGCAATGTCTCTCTCATTGCTTGATTTCCTTCCTTCCCTTCCCTCCCTCCCTCCCTCCCTGCTTCCTCCCTTCCTTCCTTCCTTCCTTCATCCCTTTCTTCCTCCCTACCATTCTTCTTCCCTCCCTTCCTGCCTTCCTCCTCCCCCCCCAAAAAAATAAACTGCACCATTGATCAAATGGACCTAAAAGATATTTGCAGAACATTTTACTCAACATCTGCAGAAAACATATTCTTTTGATTAGAATGCGGAATACATTCCAGGACTGACCGTATGTCAGGACACATAAAAGTCTCAAAAAGATTTTAAAAATTCAAAGCAAGCATTTTACCTGACCACAATGGGATAAAACTAGAAATGAATAACAAGAAGAATGTTTGAAGCTACAGAAATAGATGGAAATTAAACAATGTGTTCCTGAACAACCAATGGGTGAAGGAAGAAATTAAAAATAAAAAATTCCTTGAAAAAAATAGAAATGCAACATACTAAAACATGCAACCCAGCAAAAGCATGATTAAGAGGCAAGCTTATAGAGATAAATGCCTATATCAAAAAACTAGAAAGATTTCAAATAAATAGCTTAATGATGCATCTTAAGGAACTAGAAAAGCAAGAACAAACAAAAGCCAAAATTAGATCTGAGCAAAAATAAATGAGATCGAGACTAAAATAAATACAAAAGATCAACAAAATAAAATATGCTTAAAAGCCTTCAGAGATTTTGACCGTGTGTGTATGTATATGTATATGTGTGTATGTGTGTGTGAGAGGGAAACAGGGTCTCAGTCTGTCACCCAGGCTGGAGTGCAGTTGTGAGATCATGGTGCATTGCAGCCTCAACCTCCTTGGCTCAAATGATCCTCCCACTTCAGCCTCCCAAGTAGCTGGGACTACAGGTGCATGCCATTACATCTAGCTAAGTTTTATTATTTTGTGTATAGACAAGATTTTGTCATGTTGCCCAGGCTTGTTTTGAACTCCTAAGCTCAAGCAATCCACCTGCCTTGACTGGGATTACAGGCATGAGCCACTGTACCCGGTCAAGTTAGAGCCTTTAAAAAACAAGTAGGTTGTGGTAATTCCTTAAGGATCTAGAAATAGAAATACCATTTGACCCAGCAATCCCATTACTGGGTATATACCCAAACGATTATAAATTGTTCTGTTATAAAGACATGTGCACACATATGTTTATTGTGGCACTGTTCACAACAGCAAAGACTTGGAACCAACCCAAATGCCCATCAATGATAGACTGGATAAAGACAATGTGGCACATATACACCATGGAATACTATGCAGCCATAAAAAAGAATGAGTTTATGTACTTTGTGGGGACATGGATGAAACTGGAAATTATCATTCTCAACAAACTGACACAAGAACAGAAAACCAAACACTGCACATTCTCACTCATAAGTGGGTGTTGAAATGAGAATACAGGGACACAAGGAGGGGAACATCACACACTAGGAGGTGGGGGGATGGGGAGGATAGCAAGGGGTAGGGGATTAGGGAGGGATAGCATTAGGAGAAATACCTAATGTAGATGATGGGGCGATGGATGCAGCAAACCACCACCATGGCACATGTATACCTATGTAACAAACCTGCATGACCTGCACATGTAACCTAGAACTTAAAGTATAATAAATAAATTTAAAAAAACCAAGTAGGTTGTAGAAAAGCTTATGACAATTGCTTGAACCTTAAGTAATAAAGACATTTTTCATTTGTTCATTTGTTTTTTTTTTTTTTTTTTTTTTTACTATTTGAACATTTTTTGAGTACTTGTTATGGGCAGGGCACTATTATATGTACCCACCGTTTCTGCCCTCAAGTCTAGAAGCCAAAGATGTTCCCCTGTAGCTCAGAAACAAGATGAATAGGGAGGAGATGAGCCCAGTTAGCAGCTTATATGAGTCTACTTGTTTATTAGTTAATCCTCATTGAAATCTTATTATTAGGGGGAGGGAGGACGATGGAAGCAAAATACTGTTTTGTTAATTTCCATGCTCTTTGGGGTCTTTATGTTCCTTTTGAAAGGAGAAAATAAACAGGAGATCCACACTGTTCATAAGAGATATGGATATGGAAAGGAGAAGCATTTTGAGGGAAGTCAAGAGCCGTAGGGTGGAGGTTGTGTATACTTGCAACTTCCTAAAAAGGCATGTCCCAAAGCATTCTAACCAAGCCTGTTAAGAGGCTGGAAAAATAAAATAGATAAAAAGTCAAGGTCACTTAAAATATGTAGAAGTGTTGAGGAGCGGAAATGGTAAAACCAGTTAGATTGGCTGTATGGATCAGTAGTTAAGCAGAGGACTCTGGCACCGGACAGATTTGGCTTCTGATTGTAGTGCAGGCACTTAGCTGTGTAACCTTGCAGAAGTGATTTCACGTATTGAAGTTTCAGTTCCTCATATGTAAAACAGAGTGGAATTTCCAGGCAGATCTAGTTCATATGTAACATGTCTTGATAATTCCTTCCTTAAAATATATAAGACCTCAAATGATCATGGCCCTTTATTTAAAAAAATTCTGTTCTGTGTCCCTCATCCATCAGAGGACTCATTCATTTGTCTGTCCATTCATTCATCCATCCATCCATCCATCCATCCATCCATCCATCCATCCATCCATCCATCATTCATTCATCCATTTAAGAACTATTTATTGAGCACTTATCATTGCTTGGCATTGCAGACAAAATTGTGATAAGAAGCTATTATCCCTGCACTCTTCTGCCTTACAGACTAGAGGTGAATACAGATTTACATCTATAATCATTATTATGATATTATTAGTGAAAAAGCACAGAATACCACAGTGAAATATAACCTGGGGGTCATTCTTTTCATTTCTCTATTTGCAAAATTCTGTTTTATCATTCTTTCACTTGTCAGCTCCCATTCACTAGTCACCCACAATAATCTCGTCTTTTCCTACACAACCCAGCTTCCTACCCAACTTTCACATTTGCTGAAAATGGCTAAGATCAACAACAATCCACTGTCAGTTCTCATACTTTCACTCTTCTTATCAATCTCTCTCTGCAGCACTTCACATTGACAACAAACTATATTTCTTGAGACATCTCTTCTACAGGTCTATTGCCCTTCTTATTAACCCCTCTGCTTCTTCTGCTCTTTAAATTTTGGGAGGATCCTTAACATTTAATATTTAAGCCTTTTCTATACAAGCTTTTGTTTATGAACTCATGTAGTCCTGCCTCATCAACTATCATGTACCTGTTAAGGACTGTGAAATTCATAGATCTGGTTCCAAATTCAGATGGGCATTTAACTTATTTTAAATGAGAATTTAACTTAATTCAAAGCTAAATTTATTATCTGCATAACTTTTTCAGACTCCTTTTGTTTTGATTGAAATTAATAGTGGTAACATTTACTCAGTCTCCTTGGATTGAAATTTTGTTCTCCTACTCACAATATTCCTTCTACCAATATTTCTTTCTCTATCCCCTCTGAAAACATCTATTTTCTCTCCAACTTAGGTTGAGTTATTCAACTGAGTAACTAAATAGAATAAAACCATATTCATTTCACTATTAACACTTAACAGGTTGTAATTTATTTCCAAATCTCTCTCAATGAACTGAAGTTAACCTATTTATTGAGTACTTAGTAACCAGCAGAGAGCTTAGCACATAGTAGGGACTCATTAATGAAGTCTTAAATTTTTTTTCATCTCTCTTTTTTTCATACCTAGTCCCAAAGATATTTCTTAAATTCTTTAAAGATTCACAAGCTTTTTGACCATATCCTTAAAGGCTTGTTTTACCTGTTGGTTCCTTAGGGTGTAAATAAAGGGGTTCAACAAAGGAGCAACTGAAGTAATAAGGAGAGCTACTCCCTTGTTGAATGTGTCCCCTTCTTTTGCAGAGGGATTAATGTACATAAACATGCAGCTTCCATAAGAGAGGGAGATGACAATCATGTGGGAAGAGCAAGTGGAAAAGGCTTTTGTCCTTTGCTGGGCAGAGGGGAGCTTCAGAATAGTCTTGATAATGAATGTATATGAGAGAATCACTAGCACCAGAGTGACCACCAGGGTCATAGATGCCACAAGTACGACAACCTTCTCCATGAGGCTTGTGTCTGAACATGAGAGTTCCAGAAGAGGCTCATAGTCACAGAAATAATGATTCAGTCTGTTGGATGCACAAAAGTCCTGCTGACTCATCAGGGTGATTGGTGGTATAATAGCCATTAACCCACCCAGCCAAGAGCAGAAAATCAGCTGGGTGCAGACTCTGTTGCTCATGATGGTGGTATAATGCAGAGGTTTGCAGATGGCCACATAGCGGTCATAGGACATGGCAGCCAAAAGGTAAAACTCTGTGGCCCCAAGGAATATGGCAAAGAAATACTGAGTGAAGCAGCCAGCAAAACTGATACTCTTGTTCCCTGTTGTGATGCTAATCAGGACCCTGGGAATGAAGATGTTTGTGAAGGAAATTTCTAAGAAAGAGAAGTTCCGGAGAAAGAAATACATGGGAGTCTGAAGGTGGGAGTCCAGCAAGGTGAGGATGAGGATAGTCAGATTTCCAAAGATGCTGAGTAAATATGCAAGGAAAAGAAAGGTGAAAACTGCCACCTGGAGTTCAGGGACATCTGTTAGACCCAGAAGGATGAACTCAGTTAATATAGTTTTATTTTTCATTGTTGAAAAAGTTTTTAGTCTCAAAGTAAAAAAAAGAGTAGTAATCAAAGGTGAGAAAGGAAGGGGGGCACTGAAATGAACAGGGGGGCTCTGAAATGAACAGACAAAGTCTGACAAGACCAAAATGAAATGGACGATGTACTTCTCCTCTGATGACATGGTCCAGACCAGTGGCCCATTTGAATGGTGTTGGATCCTTTCCAGTCCCTTTCACCCTATGGAGGAAAGTTCTTGTTAATGACTTTTCCACATTATACCCTCCCTAGTGCTCACATGAAGCAAGTGTCTGTCTCACAGATGATGTTTAAAACGTTGTGAAATAAGTTAATAAAAGAATGCCTTCAGCTGCTACCTCCTTCCAGAATAGTTATGAATTTCTTTCTCCCATTAATTTTCTTTATTTCTCATTGACTCCATTCTTTGCCATACTTCCTTTGTGTGCCCAACTCTTCTCAGAATTGTTTTTCTTATTCTTCCCTACTTAAAAAAATATCTGATATAGCAATTTCTAATTTTTCTTCTGGTTCAGCTTTCTTAATTCCGTTGATGCCAAAAAAAGTGCCACTTCTTTCCAGTGGACCCTCCAACTTCTTAGCCTATGTCTGTCTGTTAAAGATCTGTGTATTAGCATTATGCTTGTCTGTCCTTTGAAACATTCACCACTTCTGGGGTGAGTAAATATTAGATTAGAATACTTCCACAAACACATTTAGAATCTTTAGATCTAGAATTTTGCTTTCCTGTAAGTACATGAAGATTCTATTACATTTCAAGGAAATTTTAGGATCTTAAGAATATTTAAGCAAGAGCTTTTAAACTAGGGATCTAGTAATCCACAGATTAGATTTACTATGTCTGTGAATCCATTAAATTATGTGTAAAACATTTTGTGTATGTGAGCATGTGAATTTTATGGAGAAAGTGTATAAAACTATGATCCAGGATTTCCTGGGAGATTCCATATTTGAGCACTTCATGGGTGTTTTAAGTTTCTACTTATTGTGAGCTCATGCAGTTATAGAGTCACATTATTGGGGAGTGCCCTTATTGATTTATTTAATATTTCTTTCTAGTTATGTTTTATAAATATTTTAAGGCAGCAGGTTTAAAGCATTTTTGATTAAAATTCATTCTAAATTATATATATTTTAATAAACACATATATATCTCACTTAAAAGTTTTTTCTTCCATAAATTTATTTTTATTTATTTATTTATTTTTTATGTTTTCTTTTTTTAAATTGCGTTTTAGGTTTTGGGGTACATGTGAAGAACATGCAAGATAGTTGCATAGGTACACACGTGGCAGTGTGATTTGCTGCCTTCCTCCCCTTCACCTATATCTGGCACTTCTCCCCATGCTATCTCTCCCCAACTCCCCACACCCCACTGTCACTCCTCTATTCCCCCCAACAGACCCCAGTGTGTAGTGCTCCCCTCCCTATGTCCATGTGTTCTCATTGTTCAACACCCACCCGTGAGTGATTAAAAGTTTTATAGAGCATTCCTTACTATGTATGGTATATTCTGGTATATTCTTTTTCTTTTTTTCATACAGGGTCTGACTCTGTCACCCAAGCTGGAGTGCAGGCATGATCATGGCTCACTACAGCCTTGACCTCCTGGGCTCAAGCGATCGTCCTACCCCAGCCTCCTGAATAGCTGGGACCACAGGCATGCACTACCATGCCCAGTTATTTTTTTTGTAAATTTTCTGTGAAGACGGGGTCTTGCTATGTTGCCCAGGCTGGTCTTGAACTCTTGGGCTCAAGTCATCCTCTCACTTTGACCTCTCAAAGTGCTGGGATTACAGATGTGAGCCACTGTACCTGGCCCATGTGATAAAATATGAGATTTTCTATTTAATTTTTTAAAACGCTGGTTGCAGCCCACTAACTAAATTGATTTTATAACCTCCTTGTGGGTTGCAGTCAACAGTTGCAGTCAATCAGGGATCAAGGTAAGTTATTGTAAATAACTTTGGGAACAAACTTTAAATATACAGCTGAGAAAAGAGAGTCCAGAGGAGTTAGCTTGGAGATAGGCTGGTGGCGCTGGGGGTGGTGGCCAGAGAGCATTAGCTACAGATACCCTTCCCCTCCTGGTTACTAACCTGGAGTCTTCAGGGAGTGGTTGAATAGTCACCTCGGTATCAGCTTCAGGCTTTACAACTCCAGAGAAGTAAAATCAATGAAGCTACAAATAGGTAACATACTTCCTTACTTGACTATCCAAATGATTATTGTGTGATTGTCATCCTAAATATTCTTGGTGGCAAATTAAAAATTTAAGGCAACATAATTACAAAATATTATGAGATTTATTGCATTTTGTTTTTACCTTTCCTGCCACCAAGTTCTACACTACATTTCATAGAAATACACAAAACTCCAAACTTCTCTTTGTAGATAAGAAGTAGTCTTCTGCTGCTCCTATTTCTTACCATTTCAGTGGGGATTTGCTGATCTCCACTGTTCAACTTATTAAACTGGAGCTGAATCAGAGTTTTTGGTGATCCTCTTTTTTAAAGCATAGCCAATAACTAGGACAATAAAAGAAGGACTTTGAGGAGCAGAGTAGTCCTGATCTTTTCTGTTGTAGGAGAAATGAACTGATGATCTCAGAAGGCATAATATGCACTACCTCTCCTACCCCAGATTAAACTTTACACAGAGTGACACAGGTTATATCTGCTCTATTGAGAGCATGCACTGGGAATCAATTGAGTGAAGAAACACAAGTTGCATGGGGGATCCTCACTTGGAACAGGCTAATGAATGTCCTTTGTGAATAACTTTGGGAACAAACTTTAAATATGCAGCTGAGAGAAGAGGGTCCAGGGAGACTATCTTGGAGATTTGTTGTTGGTGGTAGGGGAGGTAGCCAGAGAGCATCAGCTGCAGAGAAAAAGAATTTGGAGTCATTATAGTGTTTTTCCTCAGGTGGATGGTCATAGCTGGACTTGGCTGTGGACAAACAGATTTGGTGGAACCATGTGGAGGTCCTAAAAAGCCACACTTAAAAAAAAACTTTTATATTAGGTTTAGGGGCACATGTGCAGGTTTGTTATATAGGTAGACTTGTGTCATGAAGGTTTTGTGTACAGGTTATTTCATCACCCAGGTACTAAGCATAGTACCCAATAGTTATTTTTTTTGGATCCTCTTCTTCCTCTTATTCTCTTCTGTCAAATAGGCCCCGGTGTCTGTTGTTCCCCTCTTTGTGTCCATTTGTTCTTGTTTAGCTCCCACTTATAAGTGAGAACATGTGGTATTTGTTTTTTTGTTCCTGCATTAATTTGCTAATTGGCTTCCAGCTCCATTCGTATTCCTGCAGAGGACATGATCTTGTTTTTTGTAGGTGCATGGTATTCCATGGTAAATATGTACCCTATCTTCTTTATCCAGTCTACTATTGCTGGACCTTTGGGTTGATTCATGCCTTTACTATTGTGACTAGGGCTGCAATGAACATAGATATGGTTTTGCTGTGTCTCCACCCAAATCTCCTTGAATTGTAGCTCCCATAATTCCCTCATGTTGTGGGAGGGACCCAACGGGAGACAATTGAATGGGGGAGCAGTTTCCCCCATCATACTGTTCTCATGGTAGTGAATAAGTCCCATAAGATCTGATGGTTTTATAAGGGGAAACTCCTTTTGCTTGGCTATCATTCCCTTCTCCACCATGTGAGATGTGCCTTTTCCCTTCTGTCATGATTGTGAAACTTCCTCAGCCACATGGAACTGTGAGTCCATTAAACCTCTTTCGTTTGTAAATTGCCCAGTCTCTGGTATGTTTTCATTAGTAGTGTGAAAAGACTAATACAGTAAATTGGTACCAGGAGTGGGGTGCTGTGAAAAGATACTCAAACATGTGGAAGCAAATTTGAAACTGGGTAACAGGCAGAGGTTAAACAGTTTGGAGGACTGACCAGACAGGAAAATGTGGGAAAGTTTGGAACTTCCTGGAGACTTATTGAATAACTTTGGCCAAAATGCTGTTAGCAATATAGGGAATAAAGTCCTGGCTGAGATGATCTCAGATGGAAATGAGGAACTGGTTGGGAACTGGAGCAAAGGTGACTTGTTATGTTTTAGCAAACAGACTGACAGCATTTTCCCCCTGCCCTAGAGACTTGTGGAACTTTGAACTTGAGAGAGATGATTTAGGGTATCTGTCAGAAGAAATTTCTAAGCCGCAAAGCATTCAAGAAGTAACATGGGTGCTGTTAAAGGCATTCAGTTTTATAAGAGAAGTAGAGCATAAAAGTTTGGAAAATTTTCAGCCTGATGATATGACAGAAAAGAAAATCCATTTTTCTGAGGAGAAATTCAAGCTGGCTGCAGAAATTTGCAGAAGTAACAAGGAGCTAAATGTTCATCCCCAAGACAATGGGAAAAATGTCTCCAGGGCATGTTAGAGATCTTCACGGCAGCCCCTCTCCTCACAGGCCAGGAGGCCTAGAAGGAAAAAATGGTTTCGTGGGCCAGGACTGGGGTTCCAGTGCTGTGTGCAGCCTAGGTACTTGGTGCCTTGCATCTCAGCTGCTCCAGCCGTGGCTGAAAGGGGGCCAACGTAAAGCTCATACCATGGCTTCAGAGGATGTAAGACCCAAGCCTTGGCAGCTTCCACTTGATGTTGAGCCTGTGGGAGCACAGAAGTCAAGAATTGGGGTTTGAGAACCTCTGCTTAGATTTCAGAGGATGTATGGAAATGCTTGGATGCCCAGGCAGAAGTTTGCTGTAGGAGTGGGGCCCTCATGGAGAGTCTGTGGTAGGGCAATGCAGAAGGGAAATGTGGGTTGTAGCCCCCAGTCAGAGTCCCTACTGGGGCACTGCCTAGTGGAACTATGAGAAGAGGGCCACTGTCCTCCAGATCCCAGAATGGTAGATCCACCAACAGCTTTCACTGCACACCTGGAAAAGCCACAGACACTCACTGCCAGATCATGAAAGCAGCTGGGAGGGAGGCTGTACCTGCAAAACCATAAGTAGAGCTGCCCAGACCATGGAAACCCACCTCTTACATCAGTGTGACCTGGATGTGAGATATGGAGTCAAAGGAGATCATTTTTGAGCTTTAAGATTTGATTGCCCCTCTGGATTTTGAACTTGCATGGGGCCTGTAGCTCCTTTGTTTTGGCCAATTTTTTCCATTTGGAATGAATGTATTTACCCAATGTCTGTATCCTTATTGTATCTAGGAAGAAACTAACTTACTTTTGATTTTACAAGCTCATAGGCAGAAGGGACTTATCTTATCTTGGATGTGTCTTTGGACTGTTGGACTTTTGAGGTAATGCTAAAATGAGTTAAGACTTTAGGAGATTGTTGGGAAGGCATGATTGGTTTTGAAATGTGAGGACATGAGATTTGAGAGGGGCCAGGGACAGAATGATATGATTTGGGTATGCCACCACCCAAATCTCATCTTGAATTTTGTCTCCCATAATTCCCTCATTTTGTGGGAGAGTCCCAGTGGGAGACAGTTGAATCATGGGAGCAGTTTCTCCCATACTGTTCTTGTAGTGAATAAGTCTAATAAGATCTGATGGTTTTATAAGGGGAAACCCCTTTCACTTGGCTCTCATTCTCTTCTCTCTTCTGCAGCCATGTGAGACGTGACTTTCACCTTCTGCCATGCTTGTGTGAGGCCTCCCCAGCCATGTGGAACTGTGAGTCCATTAAACCTCTTTCTTTTGTAAATTGCCCAGTCTTGGGTATGTCTTTATCAGCAGCATGAAAATGGACTAAAACAAACATATACTTACATAAGTCTTTATGGAAGAAGAATTTATATTCCTGTATTAGTGTGTTCCCACACTGCTGCAAAGAAATACCTGAGACTGGGTAATTTATAAAGAAAAGAGGATTAATAGTTTATAGGTATGCAGGCTGTACCAGAAGCACATTGGCTTCTGCTCTGGAGAGACCTCAGGGAACTTGCAATCATGGTGGAAGGTGAAGGAGAAGCAAGCATGTCTTACATAGCCAGAGCAGCAGCAAGAGAGAGAGAGGGATGAGAGGTGATACATACTTTAAAATAACCATATTTGTAAGAACTCATTATCATGATGACAACACTGAGGGGGGAAGGTTGTAAAACCATGAGAAACCACCCCCATAATCCAATAATCTCCCATGAAGGCCCTCCTCCAGCATTGGGAATTACATTTCAACATGAAATTCAGGTGGGGGCACAGATCCAAACTATATACTTCTTTCTATAACCCCACCCAAATCTCATGTCTTCTAACATTTTAATTTTTATTTATTTATTTTTTATTGTACTTTAGATTCTGGGGTACATGTGCAGATCATGCAGGATTGTTGCATAGGTACACACATGGCAATGTGATTTGCTGCCTCCATCCCCCCGTCACCTACATCTGGCATTTCTCCCCATGTTATCACTCCCTGACCTCCCCACCCCCTCGCTGTCCCTCCTTTGGCCCCCCTCAACATCACAACACCCCAGTGTGTGATGCTCCCCTCCCTGTGTCCATGTATTCTCATTGTTCAACACCTGCCTATGAGTGAGAACATGCGGTGTTTGATTTTCTGTTCTTGTGTCAGTTTGCTGAGAATGATGGTTTCCAGATTCATCCATGTCCCTACAAAGGACACAAACTCATCATTTTTTATGGCTGCATAGTATTCCATGGTGTATATGCACCACATTTTCCTTGTCCTGTCTATCATCAATGAACATTTGGGTCGGTTCCAGGTCTTTGCTATTGTAAACAGTGCCACAATGAACATACCTGTGCATATGTCTTTGTAATGAAATGATTTATAATCCTTTGGGTATATGCCCAGTAATGGGATTGTTGAGTCAAATGGAATTTCTATTTCTAGGTCCTTGAGGAATCACCACACTGTCTTCCACATTGGTTAAACTAGTTTACACTCCCACCAACAGTATAAAAGTGTTCCTGTCTCTCCACATCCTTTCCAGCATCTGTTGTCTCCAGATGTTTTAATGATCGCCATTCTAACTGGCATGAGATGGTATCTCAATGTGGTTTTTATTTGTATTTCTCTAATAATCAGTGATGATGAGCATTTTTTCATATGTTTGTTGGCCTCATATATGTCTTCTTTTGTAAAGTGTCTGTTCATATCCTTTACCCACATTTGAATGGGTTTGTTTGTCTTTTCTTGTAAATCTATTTTAGTTCTTTGTAAGATTCTGGATATTAGCCCTTTGTCAGATAGGTAGATTGCAAAAAATTTTTCCCATTCTTTTGGTTGCCGGTTCACTCTAATGATTGTTTCTTTTGCTGTACAGAAGCTCTGGAGTTTAATTAGATCCCACTGGTCTATTTTGGCTTTTGTTGCCAATGCTTTTGGTGTTTTAGTCATGAAGTCCTTGCCTAAGCCTCTGTCCTGAATGGTTTTCCCTAAGTGTTCTTCTAGAGTTTTTATGGTGTTAGGTCTTATGTTTAAGTCTTTAATTCATCTGGTTAATTTTAGTGTAAGGTGTCAGGAAGAGGTCCAGTTTCTGCTTTCCGTGCATGGCTAGCCAGTTTTCCCAACACCATTTACTAAATAGGGAATCCTTTCCCCATTGCTTGTTTTTGTCAGATTTGTCAAAGATGTCAGGTTTGTAGATGTGTGGCATTGCCTACAGGTCCTCTGTT